CAAAATTGCATATTCTATGCAATAAATACCAAAACACAATAGTAAATATGAAACATGTGATTTCATATTTATAAACATGAAAACTCAAAACTGTGTATGTATATATATATAAAACTATATATATGCATAGAAACCAAAACTTATGTATATATATATAACTATATATATATACGAAGAAACCAATAAATGTGTGTGTATAGATATTGAGCTTAGAGTATATAACACACATAATATAAAATCTAAAACTACATTACCCAAGCAATCTTGATCTTCAATTAAGCTTGACTTGGTACACTTGCGGATGAAGCTTGAACTTGATCTTTAACTTGAATTGTATAGGCTTCAACCCGACATTCCGCCAACCTCCTCTTGATATGAACGTGTAGGCTCAATCCATCCAACCTCCAACTACGTTGTTTGTCTACAATAAATACGAAAACACAAATACTAGACAAACAACATTAGTGGTAAATTGTTTGTTAAACATCATCAAAACAAGAAGGCCAACACTTGAATCCCTTTGCCTCGAAAGCTCCAACAGAAATAAAATTCTTCTTTAGCTGAGAAACAAATCTCATATCTTTCAATTTATGAAATACTCTATCATGCATCAGAATCCTCACGGTACCTATCCTACAAATACCATAGGATTTATCATTTCCCATGATAACAACACCCCCATCGAGTCTCTCAAATGATGCAAACCAATCTCGTCTAGGAGTCACATGATAAGTAGTACCAGAATCAAGCATCCAATCTGATGCATCCACATGGTTCACCTCCAGAGTAATTAATAGAGAAAATCTCGAATCCTCGGAATCATCGCCTTTCGTAATATTCACCTCATTGGCCTTCGGTCCCTTCTTCTTGCTATTCTCATTTTCCTTGAACTTTAGATAATCTCTCTTCTAATGTCCCTGTTCCTTGCAGAATGCACACTAGTTCTTAGCTAACTGGTGATGACCTCTAGAATTCGACCTGCTCCTATTACCACCTCTTAGATATGGGCTTCTACCACTTATCGACAAGGTCTCTCCTGAAGTACTAGCGCGAAAAGTCTCCTTATCATTCCTCCTCAAATCATAGTTCGTCAAAGCATTAGTAACTTCACTATATATGATAGAAGATCTCTCGTTCAATAAGGTAAGCATGAAGGTATCGTACTCCTCATTCGGTAAGGAGCCTAAAAGAATAATAGCATTGTACTCATCCGTGATCTTCTCATCCATGTTCGCCAAGTCCGACAACAACAACTTCATATAGTTGTTCACATGAACTGCAAGTGAGGTTCCCCTAGACATCTGAAATCTGAACAATCTTCGCAACAAGTGTAAACAGTTCTCAACACTCTTCGTAAGGTACTTATTGTTGAGAATCTCCCACATCTTCATTACAGACATCACTCTAATCACATCATACTTCAGCTCATGTTCCAAATAAGACCTGATCACCCCACTAGTATTCCTATTCATCTTTTCCCATACCGTCTCTTCATATTTTGGTGGCCTCTCATGGACCATTATGGTCTCCTCCAAATTCTGAGCATTGAGTGCATCTTGTACGTCGCTCATACAAAAACCAAAATTAATCTTACCGTCATATTTAACCACACTAATCTTGGTGTTCTGAAAACCAACTTGAACTGTACCCGCCATCTTACTGTTTTCACCAACTTCTTCACCCATACTCACAGACTCCAATTGTAAAGAAAGATCCTAACTTTGATAGAATTAAGAAGTTACCCAACCGAACCCCAGATTGGATTCTAAATAGATCTCCTAACCACACGAGGAAAGTGAAATCTTCAACGACAACTCCATAACGCTATCTCCACCGAAGCTTAGAATTCCAAGAACTAAGCTTTCACTATGAATCTTCCTCCACCTAATGTCAAAACCTTAGATTTGAAACCCTAGAGCTCTGATACCAATTTATTACGCACCTTTGCGGAAGCGTGCTCACACACCGAACGAGTCCGTAAGCCACGGGAGAAGATTAAAAAACCAAACACGGGCACAATTCAAACAAATATGACAAACCAATCACAAACACAGAGATATATGTGATTCGGCAATTTGCCTACATTCATGGGGAGAGGATAGGGAGATTTCACTATATCGAGGAGAGTACAAAAGGGTTACAATCACTCAAACACTCAAACAAACCCTAACCATTAATCTCCCAACTCGCTCATAAGTTCTCCCTCTCATAGTGCTCAGAATACTCTCTATTCTCTGATATCTGAAACCCTAAAATCGTGTTTTAGTATATATCAAAACACAAATCAAATCAAAATAGGAAAAGAAGCCTAGGCCCAAATTCAACAGGCGGTCGACCGTACTTGACGTCGCGATCGACCGGATAGAATGTCCAAACATAGAAAACCAATTACAGGATCCGCGGTCGACCACACTTAACGCCGCGGTTGGCTGGACAGAGATCCAGAAACTACCATGTACTCGTGCACGTTTCCGGTCGACCGCACCCTTGGTCGCGGTCGACCGGACAGAACCAAAAACTGTCCAACTGTATTTTCCTGAATGTTGATGTTTTCTCTTCAATAAAAAGAGATAACTTTTCGTTCTCGTATGAGCAAAACGACACAAACCCTAGAACCCCTAGAAATAGAAAACTTCTGAAATTAATAATAACAAACCAAAAACCCTTTGTTCCCCTTATATAGGATACAAAATAATGAGGAAGTATCAAACTACCATTTTCCTAAAGCTAAGAGAAATCCTTAAATAAAAAACTTTCTATAAAAACTAGAAAACTAGAAAACTAGAAGTAACCCATAATTCTACGCGCAGTTAAGCCTGAAGACGAATACCTAGAACCACACAAATTATTTTTATGTATAGAGGACTTCCTAAGTTTTCTAAAAATATATAATAATAAAGATTCTACAGAGCGAGTCAAAGGATATGATCCTCCAAAATTAAATCTTAGAATCTGTCCGAAAATACTCTTTCGCTTCAATCGTCCCATTTTCACATGATTAGATTTCTTTCAAAAAACATCAATTATTGCATCCGCATCATTCTCCCCTTCCTAAACAAAACTCATCATCGAGTTTGGTCGAAGGTAAAGCGGTCTAATCGGGTGAAACTTAGTCAAATTAGCAATCTTCTTCATCTTAAATTTGTGGTAGGTGTTCTTAGGCAATGGTTCCTTGCTCAGATTATTCATCATTAGATCTCCCTCATCAAATAATTTTAAATGATGATGCTTATCAATGTCCAACCCCTGCACAAAAATAAAAGAACCAACGTTCGACTTCACAATTGGTTCACTTTGTTCACTTTGCAAAGGAGCAAGTGCAGATTGAAACCCATTGCTCGGAGGTGGAGAACACTTTCGGTTTTGTAGATGGCTTCTAAATAAAGAATTTGGCTCTTGGGGATTTCTCATATATATGTTCGAGTCTAGTTCCTTTGTTACATCCTTCAATTTTTTTAGAGTATCATAATATATCATCATTTGATAGAATAACTACATTCATGAAGTTCGTAAAAACCAAATACAGACTCATATTCGTCTAAGTTGGCTGCAAATGATCAGGGCTGCGGTTGAGGTTTCATACACCTTATTTAGAGTAGGAGGGTCAGTTCACCCAGCTCTTGTCTTGTGAGTAGAGTTGTGAATTCTCCCAGTGATGTTTAGGCGTACTAGTCTCATATTGAGCTAGATGATTGGGCATCCTATTCATATTTGTAGCTTCATTGGTATAATAACTGGTTGAAGAAAACTCCCCATGGTGATAATTTGTCGACGTCTCTACCATTGGGTCTTCGTCAAGCTCCCTACTTAGTTTCAAGTCCATCTCATAATGTCTTGAGCTTGATACCATTGGGTCATCATCAAGCTCCCTACTTAGTTTCAAGTCCATCTCACATAATGTCTCTACCATTGTGTTGTATTTCAACTCTGACATTTCATTGATTTTGAAAGCATCAATGCAATGTTGGTGCTCAATAACAATCTTTGAATCGTCAATTGAAGAGAACTGATTCGTTGCCAATTGTCTCCTTTCTGTTTCAGTTGATATTTGCTTGTCTGTTTGTGTGGGCATAGCTGTCCTGTTGCCTTTTTTGAATGAGCCGTGGCTGATCTCAATATTAGACAAATTATCTTCTACAGGAACCCTACTAGAAGGAGAAAAATTCAATGCTATGCTTGACTGACATACCTATTTTCGTAATTGAATTACCTTGCAACAATTTTGAAATTGAGAAAATAAGATTATGTTGTAATCTGCTGCTAAATATTTGTATTACAATTTTGAAATTGAGAAATTATAAACTTCTCTCTACTTGAAATTTAAACACATGGCTTTGTATAACGTCTTGAATTTTTGAATTTGGTTTATTTTATTAGGGAACATCTGGGATTGTGATAATTTAAGGGTTTAAAGCAGTATGTTACGTTGTTCAGAATCTTCAGACTGAGATAGTTATGGAGCTAAGGAAAGCACTGTGGAGCAGTATGTTACATTTGGTTTCTATGCCCGACTATTTTTTTAGGAGTTACATACATTCATCCTTGACCTATGGATAGAGAAGTCCGCAGTTTATGCATTTAGCACTTACTTTGAACTGGGTGGACTGCGAGAATGACGTGCTGCTATTGATCCCAAATTGATTCTATTGATTTATCGTCCTATCTAAGATCTGTCTTCCTATGGTTTCTTTTTATTTATTTATTTATTATTATTATTATTATTATTTTATTTTTATTTATTTAATTTAATTTTTGGGAGAAAGAGGATGGGATCAAAAGATCACAGCCACGCACTATTATTTCTCTGTTTGTTGTTCTTTGTTTTGTCGATGCGTGGTTTAAGTTTTCCAGTCATGTGTTGCTAACAACCTTTCGTCGAGTTGATTAGTCAAATGTAAAATTAAAACTTGCTATTTTTCCGTGAAAACTTCTCTCGTGCTTGATCAAATGTCCAAAAGTATGAACTCTCTATCTCACCTTGGTGATATAATAGGGTCCAAGATGTTATTTTAATATTAATATCAAAGTAAAATTAGAAATATAGTACACTTAGCAATCTTCTATAATAAGTCTTGGTCCTGCTTTTCATTTTTCGACACCAAATAGTAGTTACTTAAAGTACCGGATTTCGGTACTCATAAGCTTTGTTCGCTAACCGAGGAATCGGATGGACCATCAATGGCACCGCCCTCTGCAATGTAATCCCATAGGACTCTTCCATATCTAACTTCTCCGCTAAAAGGCCTTCAGGCAAGGCCCAGTCAAATCCATGAAGTAGCGTTGCAGTTATAAACTGGACCATGGTAAGCCCCAAACTCAATCCAGGACAAATCCTTCTCCCGGCCCCAAACGGTATCACTTCAAAGTCGTTGCCTTTAACATCAACGTGCTCATACCTTCCGCCCGGCAGAAACCTGGTCGGGTCGAATTTTAACGGGTCGGCCCAAACTGTTGGATCACGAGCTATGGCCCAAACGTTTACGAGGAGGGTCGAATGTCGAGGGATGTGGTAGCCGTTGACCTCGCATGCCTCGGAGGCCATGTGAGGGAGGGAAAGCGGCGTCGAAGGGTGGAGGCGGAATGTTTCTTTGACGACGGCCTGAAGGAAGGGAAGATTGGGTAGGTCGGCCTCGCTAACAAGGCGGTCTTGGCCCACAACCGAATCCAATTCAATTTGGGCTTTCTTAAGGATTTCTGGATGACGAATCATTTCTGATAAGGCCCACTCAGTAGTGCTTGCCGTTGTGTCTGTTCCGGCTGTGAACAAGTTCTGTACAAGGTATAAATTTCAACAACCCACAAAAAAAAAGGAATATGGAGATTATTAGAAAATGGATGAGCAATAAATATCATATACTGAACTTTGAATGGAATAATCTAAGGCTTCATTTTGTTAATTTGACTTGAAAATTAAAGTGCATTCTTTGATCTAGAATAGAACTGAGAGTGACGCAAAAGGAAAAGTATAGGCTTCGCAGACGGTTTTTCTAAGGTTAATGTGACGTTATGTGATTCTCTTTCGTCTTATATGTATATTATCTAAATTAAGCTATTGAAAATTTTTAAAGGTGTTTAAAGGTTTGACATGTCAGACACGTAGTTCAGGGAAGAAGTATTCGTGCACAATAAATTTTTTAAAATAAAAATTGTTATGAACATTTTGCAGAAAACAACTCAATTAATTATGGTGCTGTCGTAAATTTTAATTAATAACTATAATCATAAGATAAAAAAATATCGCAAGTTCTCTAACCAAGAAGAGAGCCTTGATGTTAGTGTTCGTGAGTTTGCCACCATCACTATGCGCATCCTCCTTCAACCTCATCAGCACGCTGAGCAGATCACCTCCAACCCCTGTTGCCGCCTGATGCTCTTCGATGACCTTATTGAGAAAGATATCGACCCGCTGATGCAGCTTCTTCATCTTACCGACAGTCCCTTGCACATCAAACCATCTCAATGCAGGCACAAAGTCACCTATATTGAACACTCCTATCTTCATTAGGTCCATAACTAACTCTTTGAACTCTACGGCTTCCTTGCTCTCCTCGTCTACGAACACTCTTCGGCTGAGCATGGCCTTTGACAGCGCATTGGTGGTGCATCCCATCAAGGCTTGCCCTAAATTTACCATAGTATGGGTGCGTGCACGGGTGTGCAGTGTACGTGCTAGGATGGCAACTTCGGCTTCACGAAGGGGGCGGAGATCGTCGAGAGCTTTGGTGGAGAAGAGGTGGAGTGCACATAGCTTTCGGAGCATCCGCCATCGTGGACCGGAGGGAGCGAAGACCAGATCCTGCATCAGCAATCTTTTTTTGTTACTAGTGAAGTATAAATATAAAACCCTCAATATTATTTATCACATCTTAGCATGGTACAAAAGCAATTCAGGTTAAATTTTAACCTCAAATTTCTAAAGTGGATTTAAAAAATATACCGCTCGATCTCCATAGTCCAGGTTACGACCTATACAAAAAGATGGTCAAACCTGAGAAAGCATATGAGGGAATAAAATTATAATCCTCAACTTTCACAAGTTTAGAATTTTCATACAGTTGCAAAGTCCATCGACAATTGCGAGTGATTCTTAACACCCTAAAAGCAAGACTTAGAAACACCTTGTTTCTTTAGCTTGACATATTTCATGACCCTTCTTTATGAAACTCGATGAGCATATAACATCCTTATTCTCATTTAAGGTTTTGTATGGTTAAGAGTAGTCAGAACGAAAAGCCCATTTATAAAACCAGAGGATCCCAACTCTTATATTATTGAAATACTCTTCAATTTGAATGTTGGTGCAACTTTCCTATTTTTAAGGTATTTGTGTTAACTATAATATATTTGTGTTTACTATATGTCGAATTTAGAGATAGAGCAAGATGAGCTACAACTATGTCTATCTAAACACGCTCTTGAGCATCTCAATGATTTTATTCTATGGAATTAAACATAAGCCTTAATTTAAATATTGTTTCGCCAGGTTTGAGAATTATAGCTTTATTCTCTAAGATGAGATTTAATTGGATGTAACCGCACCTGATAGTTATATGCTATATGCTCGGCTGCGGAGTTAGGTGGCCGGTTGCTGAAGTTGACGTCGTGGTTCCGGAGAAATTGGGTTGCAACGGCAGCAGAGGCGGCTACAACAACATCTACAGAGCCAAAACGAAGGTGAAATAACGGACCGTAAACTTTGGAAAGAGCATAGAGAGTCTGGTGAGGCTTGGTGCCAAGCTGTGGGAGATTGCCTAGAACGGGCCATCCTCTTGGGCCCGGGGGAAGTGGTGGTCTTCGGCCCATTCTCCTCTTTCCATCGAAGAGGAGACAGTACAGGAGGAAGGAGAGGAACAAGGTGGAGAGCAGGATTAAGAGAGAAGCCATGGTTTAATTATCGGTGTAGATTAAATGAATGCTTGCAAGTTTTATAGAGAGATCACTAGAGTGTTGTTTATGTAACCAAATATGAGAACTAGCTGAGGCATTACAGGCTTAATTATTTGACTATCTATCCCCCAAAAGTAGAAGATGCTTGATATGAGTGGTTCTGGTCTTTTTTCCGTTGTGGTGATCCAAGGAGGAAACTTTTTTTTCC